AGAAAGAGACACAGAGAGACAGAGACAGAGAAGCATGGACACAGACCAAAACAGAGATGGAGAGGGAAATAGACAGAGATAGAAAGAGACAGACAAAAAGAGACAGAGGCAGAGATTTGATTTGTGTAAGATATTTCTGAGCAGACATTCACACACTGACTTTGCAAATTCCCTCCACCCTTCCAATCCCTAGCTTCTTTTACGCCTCTGTTCTCATCTAACTGTTGTTTTCTCTTAATAAAATGATCATGTATCAACTTATCTGTTTACATATTATGTTTCCTTATAAAATGTAAGTTTCTTGAGGGCAGGGACTCTTTCCTTTTTTGTCTTCATATCCATGTCTATCCTGGCTTGATGGTTCCTTGCACCTAATGCACTGCCTTGCACACAGTAGGCACTTAATAAATGCTTGTTGGATTGGATTGCATTTCTGTCCCTTTCAGCTTTAGGCCTCCCTTCTAAAAACCAGAAATGGGGCAAGAAAAGCCACCCTCTCCCCTACCTTGCATCAATAGATTCTGCCAGGGGTGGCCTGATTACCCTCTGCTGAGCCATGGAGATTTTTCCTTGTTACTCAGACGTTTGATCCCTGGCTTGGGGTGTTGTCAATCATAATTGCACATCGGTTACAGCCTATGCCAATCATGGCAACGCCTTCTCTAATGAGTCCTCTGGAGGTGTCTCATAATACTCCTGTAGAAATTAAATGCAAATGTACAACTCCTTTATTGTCCTTAATCTTGCCGTTAGCCCTGTGGGACAGGTTGGTCTTGAGTCTCATCAAGTGCTAATCAGTATCAGAGAATTATAGAGAAATGTCAAATAGGATTTGGATACCAACTCAACATGTTCCCTTGAGTTCGCCATTTCTGTCCCATGATTCTTCATTTATGAATATTGGAAGGGGATACTGGTCAAGTCACTGAAAGTGGTAGCATGTCAGAGCTGGAAGGGCCCTTGAAACAAAGAATATTAACTTCAGGAAGGACTACGGGATTGCAGATTAAGAGCTAGAAGAGGCTTTAATGGTTAACTTGTCCAATGACCTCCTAGTACATGTGAAGAAACTGAGGCCCAGAGAAGTGGTATCCCAGGTCACACAGAGAGTGATTAAGAAAGGAGTTAGACTCAAGTCCCTAGCTTCCCAATCCTACCCTCTTTCCACTGTACTGTGCTGCCTCCCTTGGAACAGAGAATATTAGATCTGGAAGAAACCTTAGACTAAATACAATTAGAGCTAGAAGAACTTGAGAAATCACTTCTAATTCATCTGGGTCTCTGTTTGTTTGTTTGTTTGTTTTGTTTGTTCGTTTTTTACAGAAAGAGCATTGGATTTACAGTCAAAGAATCAGGCTTTTATATCATGCCTTTGCTACTTTCCTGGAAGGTCATTTATCCACTCTGGGCCTCAGTTTCTTCCCCTGAAAAATAAAGATATTGAACTAAGGCATCAAACTCATGGCCAGCTGGTGGCAAGTGGCCTGTAAAACTCTCAAGTGTGGCCCAAACCAGACTGAAGTGTCTTTGGGAAACAATTAACAAAATAAATAAAAATACAATGCAACATGGATACTGTTAATTTGTGTTTTTCTAAGTCAATAATATGCAGTCTGCAGGAATCATTTCTATTTGAGTTTGAAACCACTGATCTAAAGGACTTCTAAGGTCCCTTCCAGCTCTAAATTCTATGCACACCCGTCTTTCCTCTATGTGTTTTAAATTTATATCTGTGTCATTTATATGTCCTTGTTGTCTCCCCCATTGGCATGTAAGCTCATTGTGATTAGAGAATCATTGCTTTCTTTGTACTTGTATCCCCAATATTTAGCCCAATGTCTAGAACATAATAGATGCTTGTTAAATGTTGATTGATTGTTGACTGATCCCTATAGAGGGATGATCTCATGTATTTACTAAATTCAGAGCTGGAATTAAAACCCTGGATCATGGACTTTCAGTTTATTACTGAGCTCAGTTCTTTCTCATGTCATAATTTAAAACCAGAAAATACTTACTGACTCCGTTTGGTGAAAGGTGATCTACCACATGGGCCCAAGGAGATGTCTTAGAAGTTCTATCAACTATAGGGCCAGGCTAATAGAGCATTTATAGTTTGACAATTTCAACATATACCAGTAGACTTAAAAAGTAACATTTATGTTCCATTATTTTTCTCCCTTGCTAATATTAGTCTTCCCAAGTTAGAGGATAAAAAGGAATAATTTGGTGTTGAACAACCAAGTTTTTTGAAAATATTTGCCACAATAACCATCCTAGTTATGAGTTAGTATTTATAAAGCTCTTTAAAGTTTTGCAAAGCACTCCACAAATATCTCATTTTATCGTCAAAACAACCTTGGGACTAGAGGATATGATCCTTATTTTACAGACTAAGGCACTGAGGGACAAGTATCTGAGGTTGGATTTGAACTCAGGACTTTCTGACTCCGAGTCCCGAGTTCTATTCATTGGACTACCAAGCTGCCTAATTTGCCTGGGTGCCCCCAATTCTTGTAGATATTAGTGGGTGCTAAATGGAGAATTTTTATTTAACAATCTAGATTTTCTTCTGCTCCTGATGCATTAAATGATTGTTTTGCTTCCTGTGTCTAGCTTTCTGTTTTCATTATTTCACTGATTATCAAATATAGCAGTGGAGTATTGAAAGTTGTGCTGATTTAGTGACCCATTGTTCCCAGACCTACCTGTCAATCAGTGTTGGGGGAGGCTCCGGTCTGCAGCTTTGTATTACTTGCTATTTATCATGTACCAAGTCACCTCCTACCTGTTTGTGGTGGTGGTGGTGGTGTTGCTTAGTTGTTTCAGTTGTGTCTGACACTTCTGGACCCCATTTTGGGGTTCTTTTGGCAAAGATACTGGAGTGGTTAAGCATTTCCTTTTTAGAGTTAAGTGACTTGCCCAGGGGTCACACAGCTAGTAAGTGTCTGAGGCTGGATTTTAACTCAGGTCTTCCTGACTCCAGGCCCAGCACTCTATCCACTGTGCCACTTAGCTGTTCCCCACCTGTTTGTACCTGTCAACTTGTCATATACTTGCTACCTTGGGGAGAGACTGAGATGCAATGACCCACTCCATTTTGCTGACATGGATCTATCTGAATTGTCTGTATCTCATTACAAATTGTCTTTATCTCATTACCAACAAACCTGGCCCCATCTTGAAATCCTTGCTGATCTCCAGTAATCAGCCTGTCAACGTGTTGCTACCTTGACATACTTTTAATAAACTCCTTTTAATTCTCTTTGTCTTGAGTTGTGCCTCATTAATCAGGATGAAAGCCTGAACAAAGAATTTTCCTTTTAACAGGGGCATAAGGGAGAGAGAAGTAGATCCAGTGTCGACTATGTGCCAGGCACTGTGCTAGACCCTGATTGATTAATCGATTGATTGAGTGAAGTCAGAGGGCCTGGCTTTGGTCTTATAGTGGCTATTTATTAGTTATGTGACTTTGGGTAAATCTTAGTTTAGGCAGCTCTTTAAGAGAAATAGTGCATAGAATGCTGAGCTTGGAGACAAGAAGACCCTAGTACAAATTCTTCCTCAGACACTTATCACCTGTATGACCCTGGGCAAGCCACTTAACCACTGTCTGCCTCGGTTCTCCTATCTGTAAAATGAAGGCGTTAAACTTAGTAGTGCCTTTCCACTCTTAATCTATGATCCTTCTCCTCTTCTCTAAAATAAGGGTTGGGCTAGACATTTCCTCCCACTACTTACTCTGAGATCCTGTGAATATGACATATGCCTATGATCAAAGCCCAGAGTGGGAGTGGCCTGGTCACATTAGACCCCACTGATGAAAACTCTCCAAAGTGGTAGGCTTAGAGGAGCCAGGCACGGCTCTGCCAGAGCTGCATCTTGTGACAACAAAATTGAATAAATAGATTTGACGACTCAGGGCTAAGATTAATGGGACATTAGCCCCATGTGTGGCTGGATGGTCAAATGAACTCATCTAGGGGCCTTTCTGCAAGAGCATGAGTCACTTAAGTGTTATTGACATAAATGGAGAAGAGAGCAAGAAAAAGACATGGCAACTGTCCTAAACCTTCAGCAAACTGTCTGATTAATCTTTATGAAGTTACAGGGCTTAACTACTTAAAGAGAGGGTCTCGAAACTGATACTGCTTGAATACTGACTATGATACTGAAGCATGCTGTTTTTCACTTCCTTCCTTCCTTCCTTTCTTTCTCTCTTTTTCTTTCTTTCTTTCTTTCTTTCTTTCTTTCTTT